TCTAATCCAGTTATCGTAACTTTCTACAAAGGTTTGTGTAATGCCCGTGTTTCTGGGCTACGCATTAGTATAATGATGTAGTAGTCAAGGCCAACCATTGTAACCTATTTTGAAGTAATAAAGATGAATTATTTGAATATTATGTGAGTTGTTTTATTTTATGTGCTTATATATTGGCTTATAAAGACATAATAAAAATAAGCGTCAAAAACAAAGTGTTAGATAAACCTAATATCTATACATAAAGTTTTAGTGTTCGAAACAAGGATTCCGGATATATAAAGAACGCCGAAATCCGAATTATAACGAAGAAGTTATCGCCTGTCGAACTTTTAGGAGTTCTCACACCTTCCAACTTCACTTTCTCTCTCTAAACTCTCTCTCTAACCCCCCCTAAAGCCTAGGAAAACCCTCTAGCACCAGAAGGAAGCCCCGAGGCTCCCGAAGGCTCCGAGAAAAGAGCTTTTCGGATCAGAAACGCTGTTCCAGCGAAGCCCGATTTTTAATAAAAACCTGTTGTAAGTGAGATACGCCTACCGTACTTTGAATATAGCTTATATTTAAATATAATATCGTTATTATGAACCTATAAATATGATTTATCAGTGATTCAAATTCGTTATACTGATTGATCTACTTACGGGAATGATGTCTAGGCTGTGATTTAGTGAGGTGTTTAAAGTGGGATTTTCAAACAGTATACTTCGTATACCAAACAGACCCTACCTCCGATATGATCCTACCTGGTTGTTCCTTACTTGATAGATCATGAAGTAGACTTTGATTTAATGATGAATCTAGACTAATAATTAGTCGCAATAAATATTAGACTAAAATCTAGTGATAATAAAACTAGGTTTCATCGAAGCAAATCATATTGTTAAGAAGTGAAGCGCTGCTCAAATTTCGAGTCGTCATTTTAACAAGTGAGTGCATAGTCACTTTCAACTTATACATAGATATGAAGTATTTTATATAAATTATGTGCTATGTGTGCATATTATCTGAATACTTGTTGTCTATGATGGATGAAAGATTTTATATATGTTTTAAATGATTTAAACCGTATATGTATTTTATATCTACAAAATGTGTTGGGTAAAACATGGTTAGATGTAATATTTGGGTGTGATGAAATAAAATGATGAGAGGCCTCGATGTTGACGATGTTTCCAGTCATCTAGCGGAGTATAAATGATGACCACGGACTTTTCTAGACAGTCCAGTGAAACGCTATCAGGCTCGCAACCTATAGGTGTTTGTGAACGATGTGTTCACCGGTATACTCCATCCCCCTCATGGTTGCCTTAAGGACATTTATTGCTGAGGAACCCCCTTAGCAGTAGTGTCCGTCCCGATGATGATCCTTAGGCTAGGTCCCTTATGATAGATGTTTTAGGGACGTAAAGTGAGGATAACGGGAACGGGTAATCGGGTTATTGTTGGTTGATGAAATTAATAAACTTATTTATTGTGGGTTGAAAACCCAATGTGCTCACCAGGCTCCCAAGCCTGACCCACTCAGTTTCTTGTATTACAGGTAGTGGCAATCGAGCATAGATGTGATGTTTGGCTGAGGGATTATGGATTATAGGTCTGTAGTTATGAATAAATGTTGTAAGGCTTATATTGTACTGTTTATGCTTTTGATCTGTAGCGAACATGACATCCCGTGGTTTTTAATGAAATACATTTCTTCGAAAATGCTTTGGTAAATCTTTATCATATTTTATTTTGGGAACAAATTCCGCAACACTTTTATTTAAAATGTTACTCTGATTTTCAAACAAAGCATAAACAAAATCGGTCTTTTCTGGCCGTGAAAATGGGGATGTCACAGTTGGTATTAGAGCATTAGTGTAAGCGAACTAGGAATTTCTAGGATTTCTAGACTTAAACTTAGGATGCTAAGCGATGATTTTGAGATGAGTGTCTACTATATTTTAGACACAAGCACTAGTTTATTTTAGGAAAGATGCCTAAAATGCTTTTATGTGCTATATGCTATTATTTGTTTGAATCTATGGTCTGTTGCCGACCGGATCTGGAAACCTTATGTGTTCAGGATTCTAAACGTACGACTACGATATTAGAACTAACATGTAAACGTTTCGGAGGGATACAGATGATTTAAAGGTCTATCCTAAATAAAGATCTAAATTCGCCCTATTCGGTGTATAGATCAAAATGGAAAGAACCCAAAGTGGAGTCGGGAACGCGAATGGAAACAGGAATCAACAGCCTCAACCACCAGTGATTGAGTAAATACCTGTTGTAGCAGCCACTCCTGAGCTAATCACGATGGTCGGAGTACAAGCGATGATCCAAATGATGTTGGATCGTTAAATGGAAGAGACCAAACGGATACTTCAACAGAATCGAGAGGAAGCTACAATACCTGTCGAACAGCCATAATTGAATGATGGGCAGTCAGAGGAGGGAAACTACAGCAGGACCGTTGGTCAAGATGATCCGCCAGTGATTAGGAGGAACGACCCAGATGACGGAGTCGAGAGGAATGGCTGCAAGTACAAAGATTTTCTAACTTGCAAGCCATCGACTTTCATTGGGAAGGAAGATCCAATCGGAGTTATGGATTGGATCTCGGAGATGGAGTTGGCCTTCATGACATGTGGATGCAGAGGCAAGTTACAAACCACATTTGCAGTATGCCAGTTCAGAGGAGGCGCGGTTCGTTGGTGGAACACCTTGGGGAAGACTTTGAGCCCTAATAAGCCCCTGCAACTAACGTGGGCAGAGTTTTTGGTGCAATTCAAGTGCAAGTACTGCTCAGCCCAAAACCTGCTCGAGCTAGAGAACCAATTCCTGACCTTGAAGAAAGGAAGCATGTCGATTGATGAATACACCAACAACTTCACAGAGAAGATGAAGTTTGCCTTGCGTCTTGTCCCAGACGAGCTGACAAAAATTGACAAGTATGCAAAGGGACTTCCGTGGGAGTATGCGGTGCCAGTACATCAGGCACCTACTCTAGAGGCAACTATCTGGGTTGCCAAGTTTGTTGAGGAGATGATCAAGGGAAGAGCCGCCATCAAGGTTGAGGTTGGCGAAAAGAGGAAATTTGAAGGGTCTGCAAGGCCCAATAAGAAGAGCAAGTCCAGTTCAAGGAAGTTTGGAGGAGGAGGAGCCGAAGCGAAGTGGTGCGACAAGTGCAAGAAGAAACACTCTGGGAAATGGAGGTGTAGAGTATACCAGTGGTGTGTGATTATCCGGAAGTATTTCCCGAAGATCTTCCTGGATTACCACCTTATAGACAAGTAGAGTTCTAAATAGACTTGTTACCAGGAACGACACCAATAGCAAAAGCACCGTACCGATTAGCACCAAAGGAGAAAAAGGAGCTCATGACGCAACTTCAGGAGTTGTTGGACAACGGTTTCATTCGACCTAGTTCATCACCCTGGGGAGCTCCGGTGTTATTCGTGAAAAAGAAGGACGGAAGCATGAGAATGTGTATAGACTACCGAGAGCTGAACAAGGCAACGGTGAAAAAAAAGTATCCATTGCCAAGGATTTATGATCTATTCGATCAGTTGCAAGGTTCGAGATATTTCTCAAAGATCGATCTTAGGTCAGGATATCATCAGCTGAAGGTGAGAGAGCAGGATATTGAGAAAACTGCGTTCAAAACTAGATATGGACACTATGAGTTCTTGGTTATGTCCTTTGGACTAACCAATGCTCCAGCATCATTCATGGATTTGATGAACAGGGTTTGTAAACCATTCCTCGATAAATCTGTGATAGTGTTCGTAGATGACATTTTGATTTACTCGAAAAATCCAGGAGGAGCATGGCAGACAGTTGCAAGAAGTGTTAAAAGTATTGAAGAAGGATAAGTTGTATGCAAAGTTCTCCAAATTTGATTTTTGGATCTGAGAAGTCCAATTCTTGGGTCATGTGGTTAACCAAGAAGGGATAATGGTTGACCAACAAAGATCGAAGCTGTGATGAAGTGGGAAGATCGAAAAGTCCCACGGAGATTCGAAGCTTTCTGGGATTAGCTGGATATTACTGAAGGTTTATCAAAGGCTTTTCTTCGATAGCTGCTCCATTAACAGTTTTGACCCATAAGGGAGCTACTTATACATGGAGTGAGTAGCACGAAGAAGCATTCGAGAAGTTAAAGAAAAAATTATGTGAAACACCGATTCTTTCTCTACCCGATGGAGTTGAAGACATCACAGTCTATAGTGACGCATCTGGAGTCGGGTTTGGTTGTGTTCTGACCCAAAGAGAGAAGGTGATAGCATATGCATCTCGACAATTGAAAGAGCATGAAAAGAACTACCCCACTCATGATTTAGAGTTGGCAGCGGTAGTATTTGCCCTAAAGATATGGATGCATTATCTCTATGGCACGAAATGCAAACTTTTCACTGATCATAAGAGTCTAGTATCTTTTTAATCACTACTAGAAAAACAGCCTTTTACGACGTGCAATTAATGACACACACTGATAGAGGACGCGCATTTGTGCGTGCCCTAAAAATTAATGTCAGTTTTCCAAATTTTGAAGGATAGAGGACACGCATTTTTGCGCGCCCTATAATTAGTGTCCAACAAAAAAAATAATAAAAATACGGAGGGCACCTATCATAAAAAGCGTGTTGTGTAAATGTGTGGTTTTATATTTTTTAGAAAGGCGCGGTTCTCCGTTGTTTTAATAATCTATGGTGGGAAATGAAATCCCAAAAAATTAAACAGCCGCCTGATTCATCTCCTTCTTCTCCTTCTAAAATCCTCTAACAAAAACCATAATAATCTTTCTTCGCCTGATTCATCTCCTTATTCTCCTTATAAAATTCTCAAACAAAAAACCCCAATAATCCTTTTGAAGCAGCCCTCTTCCTCTACCTATGCATTCTCTCTCTCTCTTTGGAAAACCCTAATCACCCTTCTGGTTTTCTGAACCAGGTTCCTCCGCTACTATCAGACCACCACAGTCCCCCGCCGGATCGCTAAAACAATAGTCATCGATGCACCACTTCACCCTTCTGGTTCGTTATCCCCCTCCTTTAATGTCTGCGATCGACAATGGAGATGATGGCCACCACTACTACTCCATTTCTCACATGTCCGCCTCGTTCCCGAGTTTAACAAAAGAAAAGAAGAGAGGAGAAAAGAAAGTCATGAGAGAAAAGAAGAGAAATGAAAGGAAAACAATTTTTTTTTTATGTTCCCGAGTTGGAGAGAAGTGGAAGGAAAATGAATCATTTTGTTCTTTCTTTCCAAATCCTCCCAAATCGGAAGGAAAATTAGAAGGGAAAGTGATCCTCCCATTTCTCTCAACTTCCTTCCATTTCCCTCCTTTAATGAAACTTGGAAACACCAATTTAATTTCTTTTATTTTGTTCTCATTTCCACCCATTTCCTTTCCTTTCTCTAGTTTAAGTTCAACTGGGGAACGGGGTGGTCGATCTGTCTTCATACACATACCACCACAACGCACAATCGTTTCAAAATACCCTAGCTAAACAAGCCCCTTCCTCTATAGAGATTTTTGGGTCCGATTTTTAGGGATTACCATATCACTCATCTCTCCTTTCCGCCACCGTCGCCGACCCACGTGCCGCCCGTCAACGATACCCATCTGATCCTGCTCCTTCTTGGTTCAGTCCCAAAAGGTACATTCGTTATGTTTCTTCTCTGTTCGTATTTTCACTTCTTGATCAATTGAGAAGAAATCCAGCACTATTAATGTTCTTTATACCTTCTTTTCTACAGGGGGCGAATTTGACTTAAACCATTTTAAAGATGGTAAAGCAGCAAAAAAGGAACGAATCCTGAAAAGGGCTCAAGCTGAATCTGAAGGAAAGACAGTTGAAGCCAAGAAGCCGATGGTTGTCAAATATGGTCTTAATCATATCACGTATCTTATCGAGCAGGTTTTTCATTTCCACCATTTAAATATACAATCTTTATAATCTTTCGGAAACAAAATAGCTTATGTTACTTATTTTCACTCCTTTTAGAACAAGGCTCAATTGGTGATCATTGCTCATGACGTAGACCCCATTGAATTGGTTGTCTGGCTTCCTGCTTTGTGCAGAAAGATGGAAGGGTAACCTTGCTCATGTGCTTTACATTATTTGAGGAAATGAAAGGAAAAACATAAATGAGGGAAAATTTGTAAAATTTAGGACTTAATGGGAAAACACTCATATATATAACTTAAATGATTCACTTATGTCTTATAATTTTTCAGGTGCTACGTATTCTCCCCTATAGTGCAGTCCAACTATTTGCTTATGAGTCTTACAAGGTAAGCAAAAACTTTTTCTTGGAAAAGGTGATTTGACCATTTTGCCCTTGTAAAAATAAGGGCAAGATTTTTTTTTTATGATTATTGCATTATAAATTGATGTTGAGTTTTGCAGAAACTTTATAGGGGGAAAGATGGTGAGCTTTCTGTTATTGGGAGATTAGCTGCAGGTGCTTCTGCTGGAATGACTTCCACTTTTGTAAGATTTCTCTCTCTTTTTTCATATTTTATTTATTTTTATTTATTTATTGTTTTAAATTAAAATTCCTTAATATGTTTTTTTAGGTGACATATCCATTAGATGTCCTTCGATTACGAATGGCAGTTGATCCTGGATATCAAACAATCACAAATGTAAGATTTATGTCTACTTATTAATGATTTATTTATTTATAAAAACATATAACTTTTTTTTAATAAATAAATAAACCATAATTTTAATCAGGTTGTTGTAAGGATGCTAAAAGAGGAAGGAATCGGATCTTTCTACAGAGGACTTGTACCTTCTCTCATTGGAATAGCCCCTTATGTTGCAGTCAAATTTTGTGTGTTTGACTTGTGAGCTTCCTATTAAATATATTTACATTTAACCCCCTCAACTATTGGTTTTTACTGATTTATCCACTTAACTATTTTCTTTACTGATTAAACCATTAATCACTATAGAAAATCCATAAGCAAATGCTCTACTCCAACATATTTGATTTTGGATCCTAAACATGACTTGTTTGACCAATAGCTGAGGGTATTTTGGTAATTAACAATGAATGTATATAAATAGGGTGAAAAAGTCTTTGCCAGAAAAGTTCAAAAACAAAACTGAAGCATTACTAGTGACAGCTTTTGTAGCAGCCACTATTGCCACTGTTACATGCTACCCTTTGGATACTATAAGAAGACAAAATGCAAATGAGGGGTACTCCTTATAAGACAGTTTTGGAGGCTTTTCTAGGTAATTTCTTACTATAAATAGCAACCTACTTTCATTTATTTATTTACAATATACACCCTTCTACTTGTTTCTACTAAATTTCACAAATAAAAAAAAACATAATTAATTATATAATTGGATTATTTTGTGTAGGTATTATTGCTCATGATGGTGTTGCTGGATTATATAGAGGTATTGTGCCAAATGCATTAAAAATGTTACCAAACAGCAGGTTTAATTTTAACTTTTTGTGCCCTTAAAATTTAAATCCTTGTCTATTTTCCTTCTTTTTCTTTATTAAGTTTTGTCTGGATATTAGAAAAAAAAATATGAAAGGAAAAAAGTTGAGGGTAAATTTGTAAGAAGTTAGGAGTTGATAAGGAAAGCTTCCTTTTCTTGACTTTCTATATTAGGTTATTTTGTCTGGATTAAGTAAAAAAGAAACATGCATATATATTTTTATAGGATTAAGTAAAAAAAAAAGGAAATGACCAATTTGACCTCTCATTTTGTTTGGTTCTTGTAGCATTAGGCTCACAACCTTTGATGCTTTGAAACGGTTGATTTCAGCAAGTGAGAAAGAGTACCAAAGAATCTTGGAGGAAAATAGTAATGAACAAAAGCAAGGTTCATGTAGTTCCACAAGCTGAGTTATTTATTTAATTTGTTGTAAATCTTTTGGCCATTATAATATTTATTGTGAAGGGAAAATCTTGTTTGGGAACTGTAAGTATTTTTACTTAAATACCCTTTGATTGTTTTGCTTGAGTTAACATGTTTATTGTGGATGTTATGCCAGATTGTTCATCAGAAAACTGCAGCAGCTCTGTGCTTGACTACAGTCAAGAATGAAGATAAGATGGAGTTCAGCAGAATCTTGGAAGTAGAATGTCCTAATAAGAATTAATTTTAAAAGTATAAATTATATTCTTTGAAAAATTTGCTAGATTGGTAGGTTTAAAAGTAGAATGTCCTAATAAGAGTTAATTTTAAAAGTAGAATGAAAATGACAAGTGATTTTGTGTTGTGTTTACAGGGTTGATGAAAACGAATAGCTCTGGAGTTAGAAGAGGAAAAGAAAGCTCAAGCTGAAAGAGATAAGATGCTGCAAATGCAAATGTTGCATTCTTCATTTCAATTGTTAGTATGAAACACAGAGTAGATTAGATGAATGCAAATTTATATATTGTAAGAAATAGAATTGTATGACATTAAATTTTATGCAATGGATTGTATTTTTTGTATATGGTATTTTACTTCTATTATGAGACATTAAATGCAAATTTAATTTAAAAATTAATAAATATATCAATATATTTTTTTTAAACATTTAAATTTACGATACGCATTGTGTGTCATAAATGCGCGTCGTAAATGTGTGTCGTCTATAGACGACGCGCAAAAGCGTGTCGTCTCTCGTTATGACAGGGCCTTCCTTGACGTGCATTTGCGCGTCGTCTGAGCGTTTTACGACACACATTGCGCGTCGTAAAAGGCTGTTTTCTAGTAGTGAATCAAAAGGAATTGAATATGAGGCAACGACGCTGGCTAGAGTTACTCAATGACTACGACTGTGAGATACTTTACCACCCTGGTAAAGCGAATGTTGTAGTTGATGCTCTGAGTCGAAAAGTGAGCCTTGAGAGAAAAAGGCCAAGAGCGTTGAGAATATAATCAAGAAAGCTCAGGAAGAAGCTTCATAGAAAAATGATCGAAAGGAAAAACGTTTAGGCAAAACGTTAGTGTTCAGTACAAACAATCAAGGATTGAAGGTATTCCAAGATAGGATTTGGGTACCTAAGACGGGAGGAGTAAGAGATCTTCTGATGGAAGAAGCTCCCAAGACCATGTACTCGATTCATCTCGGTAGCACTAAAATGTATAAGGATCTGAAACCCTACTACTGGTGGCCGACGATGAAGCTCGATGTTGCAAAGTATGTGGCCGAGTGTGTAAACTTGTGCAAGGGTTAAGGCACAACGTCAGAAACCATATGGGAGTTTAAAACCTTTACCTGTACCCATAGGTAAATGGGAAGACATCACCATGGATTTTGTGACTAAACTACCCATGACGAAGAACGGTCATGACATGATTTGGGTAGTCGTTGATCGTTTCACCAAAAGTGCACACTTCATAGCAGCCAACGAGAGTTGGTCTATGGATAAGCTCGCAAATGCTTATGTGAAGGAGGTAGTAAGACTGCACAGTGTTCCTTTAATGATAGTATCAGATCGTGATAGTCGTTTCACGTCAAGATTTTGGAGAAGTCTACAAGAGGAATTGGGTACGAAGTTGTGTTTAAGTACAGCTTACCATCCACAGACTGATGGTCAGAGCGAAAGAATGATTCAAACACTTGAAGATATGCTAAGAGCATGTACCCTGGAATTCCAAGGTAACTGGGATGAGCACTTACCTCTGGTAGAATTTTCCTATAATAACAGTTTCCCCTAGAGCATCAAGATGGCACCTTATCAAGCCTTGTACGGACATAAGTGTCGTACGCCGTCTTGTTGGCTTGAGGCTGGGGAGAAGCAGTTTATTGGCCCCGAGATAGTCCATCAGACTGCTGAGAAGTTAAAGGTGATCAGGGAAAGGATGTTAGCCACTCAGGATCATCAGAAGCGCTATGCTGATAAGAAGAGACGGCCGATGACATTCGAAGTAGGAGATTCAGTTTCGCTTAAAGTCTCACTGTGGAAGAGACTTATAAGATTTGGGAAACGAGGAAAGTTGAGTCCAAGGTTTATTGGACCGTTCATAAGTATTTCAGAGGATTGGGAACCAAGCTTACAAACTTGAACTACCAGAAGAACTAGATGGTATTCATAACACATTCCATGTGTGTTATTTGAGGAAATTTACGGGAGAAGTTCCCGACATAATTCCAATCTCAGAGTTAAGGATGGAGGAGAATAAGAGGCTAATCGAAGAGCCCGAGGCAATTGTTGACCGTAAGACTAAGATTTTACAATGCAAGATAGTCGACTTAGTGCTTGTGCGCTGGACACATACGAATGGGCCGAATCTCACTTGGAAACAGAGAGTGACATGATGAGTCGCTACCCACATCTGTTTGTTGATGCATAATTCCAGGACGGAATCATCCTAAGGGGGGAGAGAATTGTAACGCCCGTGTTTCTGGGCTACGCATTAGAATAATGATGTAGTAGTCAAGTTCAACCATCGTAACCTATTTTGAAGTAATAAAGATGAATTATTTGAATATTATGTGAGTTGTGTGATTTTATGTGCTTATATATTGGCTTATAAAGACATAATAAAAATAAGCGTAAAACATAAAGTGTTAGAATAACCCAATATCTATACATAAAGTTGTAGTGCTCGAAACAAGGATTCCGGATATATAAAGAACGCCGAAATCCGAGTTATAGCGAAGAAGTTATCGCATGTCGAACTTTTACGGCAAAACCGGCACAACATCGGGAATCGTAAAAAGTGATTTTTTTGATAAACTACTTTTTAGCCTTAGAGATCTAAATGAAAGTTGTAGTATACATTAAACCGAGAACATACATCAAAAGAACGCCCAAATCTGACTTCGTATGAGGAAGTTATGATTTTCTAAGATTTGGAATAGCAGTGCACAGCCCGGAATTCAAATTTTTGATCGAGCGGTTTTTGGCCCGTGCGACCTAAATGAGAATTGAAGATTAATAGGAGCTCGACGATAAAAAGACAGACGAAAACGGAGTCCGTATGTAGAAGTTATGAATTTTATGTGGTCATTTAACAATATAATCTTCTCGTACTGTCGAATTTAAAATCGGTCAAGAATTAGCCGACGGAGTCAAAAGGAAAGTGTAGATCTTGTCTTTACCTACGCGTGGATATAAAGAATGTCAAAAACGGAGCTCTTACGCAATAGTTATGATTTTTCTAAGTCGGGAATGAGCTGTGCGAAATCGGGTGACGTGGCGAAATCCTGGCCGTTGCATTCTCCCCAAGGCTAGCCACCAGATGGTGACACCTGGCCATGGACTCGACAAGTAGGTCCTCCTACTCGATGAGTAGAGTTGCCAGCCAACCTATAAATAGAGGTGTCGGGTGAAGCATTCTTCTCACACCTTCCAACTTCACTTTCTCTCTCTAAACTCTCTCTCTAACCCCCCCCTAAAGCCTAGGAAAACCCCCTAGCACCCGAAGGCTCCGAGAAAAGAGCTTTTCGGCTCAAAAACTCTGCTCCAGCGAAGCCCAGTTTTTAATAAAAACCCGCTGTAAGTGAGATACGCCTACCGTACTTTAAATATAGCTTATATTTAAATATAATATCGTTATTATGAACCTATAAATAAGATTTATCAGTGATTCAAAGTCGTTATCTGATTGATCTACTTACGGTAATGATGTCTAAGCTGTGATTTAGTGAGGTGTTTAAAGTGAGATTTCCATACAGTATACTTTGTATACCAAACGGACCCTACCTCCGATATGATCCTAACTGGTTGTTCCTTACTTGATAGATCATGAAGTAGACTTTGAGTTAATGATGGATCTAGACTAATAATTAGTCGCAATAAATATTAGACTAAAATCTAGTGATAATAATACTAGGTTTCGTCGAAGGAAATCATATTGTTAAGAAGTGAAGCGTTGCTCGAATTTCGAGTCGTCATTTTAACAAGTGAGTGCATAGTCACTTTCATCTTACACATAGATATGAAGTATTTTATATAAATTACGTGTTATGTGTGCATATTGTCTGAATACTTGTTGTCTATGCTGGATGAAAGATTTTATACATGTTTTAAATGATTTAAACTGTATATGTATTTTCTATCTACAAATGTGTTGGGTAAAACATGGGTAGATGTAATAGTTGAGTGTGATGAAATAAAATGATGAGAGACCTCGATGTTGACGATGTTTCCAGTCATCTAGCGGAGTATAGATGATGACCACAGACTTTTCTAGACAGTCCAGTGGAACGCTATCAGGCTCGCAACCTGTAGGTGTTTGTGAACAATGTGTTCACCAGTGTACTCCATCCCCCTCATGGTTGCCTTAAGGACATTTATTGCTGAGGAACCCCCTTAGCAGTAGTGTCCATCCCGATGATGATCCTTAGGCTAGGTCCCTTATGATAGATGTTTTAAGGACGTAAAGTGAGCATAACGGGAACGGGTAATCGGGTTATTGTTGGTTGATGAAATTAATAAACTTATTTATTATGGGTTGAAAACCCTATCTGCTCACCAAGCTCCCAAGCCTGACCCACTCAGTTTCTTGTATTACAGGTAGTGGCAATCGAGCATAGATGTTATGTTTGGCTGAGGGATTACGGATTATAGGCATGTAGTTATGAATAAATGTTGTAAGGCTTATATTGTATTGTTTATGCTTTTGATCTGTATCGAACATGACACTCGGGTTTTTTTTTAATGAAATACATTTCTTCGGAATGCTTTGATAAATCTTTATCATATTTTATTTTGGGAACAAATACCGCAACACTTTTATTTAAAATGTTACTCTGATTTTCAAACAAAGCATAAACAAAATCGGTCTTTTCTGGCCGTGAAAATGAGGATGTCACAGTTTGGCCATATAAGAAGCAACAAAATCAGCTCATATGAGATTATGGGATACATCGATCAATAAGCCCTCAACATGATCGG